CACCACTGTCTGGAACTGCAGACGCTCACCACTGTCTGGAACTGCAGTTCCAGAGGATCTGACGCCTTCTTCAGGCATCTGTGGACACAGACTGAATGTGGACATTTACATACATATGGGCAGAACATCACATGAATTTAAAAAACTGGATAACTGGCAGGAGGACCACCTGCTACCACGAATCTCCGGCTCTGTGAGCAAGAGTATGCCTCCTGATTTGTCACTGTGTGCAGAGCAGTGGGCTGAAGCTCTTGCTGTCACCTAAGCCCTGGCCCTTGGGATTCACAACTCGGGTTTCTGCATCTACAGGATTTCCTATAAAGGAGCTTGCACCACCTCTGTTCTGACACACACACACACACCCTTTTCAGAACTTGTCTTTTTCATGAAAAGCTTTCTGGAAATTACTCCTCCTTCCCTGTGGACTTTGGCAGGGAGTGTACGGCTGTCAGCTTCTTCTATTTGCTTAAGACAGACTCACACTGTCGTCCAGACTGGCCTAGAACTCTGAGGTGGTCCAGAACAGATTTAAAACTGCAGCTGTTCTCCTGTCTCAGCGCTGTAGATGTGGGGATGGGAGCATGCCCGACTCTACATCTGTTTAGGAAAGAGCCTGTCCATCCTGTCTAGTTACTGTCCCTTCCTGTCACCTGCAGATTCTTGATCAAGGACCTGAATTCAGTAACTGCTGATTCCTGAAAGATCATTTCAAACAGGGATAGCACTTTATCTGCTTACTTGTCTTGATTATGTTTATTTTATCTGGGGAGAGAGGTATGTTGGCACGTGCATGACAGCGTGCACATGGAGGTCAGAAGACCACCTGCACGAGGAGGCCTCTTCTCCTACAGTGTAGTTCCAAGAACTCCAACAAGTTTTCAGCTTGGCAACCAACAGCTTCACCCACTGAACCATCTCACCTGTTCAATTTTTTTTAATTTACTTTCCTTCCTTCCTTCCTTCCTTCCTTCCTTCCTTCCTTCCTTCCTTCCTTCCTTTCTTA